CAGCCTCCTCACACACACACACAAAAATCTGCATCAGCTATCTACAAATTGCAACAGTTTTAGAGTTTAGTCACAGGAGTTCCTTATCAAAGCCAAAACTTAGGTCTCTATTTGCATCTGCTCCTCAACCCTAATGCACCTAGCTTTTTTTTTTTGGTTGAATGTGATAGTGTTGGTGTTGTTCAGTCGCTAAGTTATGTCTGACTCTTTGCTACCTCATGGATCATAGCACACCAAGCCCCCATGTCCTCCATTGTCTCCCAGAGTTTGTCTAATCTCATGTCCATTGCTTCAATGACACTATCTAACCATCTCATTCTCTGTCATCCCCTTCTCCTTTTGCCTTCAAAATTTCTCAACATCAGGGTCTTTTCCCATGAGTCCTCTCTTCTCATTAGGTGGCCAAAGTATTTGAAATGTGGTGAATAAACACAGCTAATTGTGTACACTCAATAAATGGGAGTTAAAACAATTTGAATCAATGCAGTGTGTAAATCCCATCTCTACCTTCCTATTACAATCAACAATCATCCTTTCTGTAGCTTCACAATGGAGCCTATAGTTATCCTGGGCCTTAAAGATATTTTATTAAAATCCTTCTGAAACAATCGTCCTGTCTTTCTAATACTAATCCTTGTGACAGCCTCCAAACTCTTATGGTGCACCAATACATTATACTAGATCATAATTTTCAGCGCATTCATTTAAAGTTGGATCTTTTTGCCCAATTTACTTGCTCTAACCTGCAACATAAAATGGATCAGTTACAGTGCCATGGGTGACTAAAGCAGGTTTTGTCTCATTGCTAATACCAAGCGCACCTCTGCTCAATGGGTTTAAAAAAAGAATACTTGGGATTCTGCATAAACAAAAAAAAATATCTCCATTGATAGCTTCTGTAGAGAGGCTGCTTTTCTTTCCCTCAAGTGTTCATTATATAAATATTTCCTAATTCCTTTGAATGTTGAAATACACAGTGAATTGCCAGATACGGTACTGTATTTTAACAAAGCATCCCAGTTTCCAAAAAGGAATTCTGTCAAGTGGATATACATACAATGAACTGATCTGAAAATGATGCTTCCAAATATTTTATATAAAATATTTAAAATTCACTTTTCTGCACTCAAGAGGAGTTTCCACAAAGCCATATAACAAAAAAACCTGATTTTTTAAAAAATTATTGAATATATATATATATATATATATATATATATATATATATATATTATCTGTAATATAATATTCTCTGTTTTGTTAATTAGGAAATATTGGAATAGCCCAATGAGCAACACCATGTTTCACACTATACAATATCTTACATCAGTCACTTATTTCTTAGATTACATTATACTTTTTTCAGCTTCAAACAATCTATCTCAAAAATAATGTTGATTTATCTTAAAATTTCCTATAAATCTTAAGGAAAACATTAGAAACTTGTACAGGTTTTTTTTTAATTAAAAATATTTTTTCCTCTTATGTCTCTTTCCAGAACTGTTATTTAGTCTGAATTATAGCTTAGAAAAATAAGATCCAAAGCTAGGTTTAATATTCTTCATTACAGTAATTTGAAGTAAACAACTTTATTTCCTCTGTGATCTCTTCTGAAGTAGAGCCTGAACATTTACAGGTGGTCCTCTATTTACAACAGTTCATTTAGTGACTGTTCAAAGTTACAACAGCACTGAAAAAAATGATTTATGACCATTTTTCACACTTATGATCATTGCACCATTCCCATGGTCATATGATCAAAATTCAAACATTCAAATTCAAATTTATGACGTAGCAGTGTCCCAGGGTCATGTGACCACTTTTTGCGACCATCTGACAAGCAAAATCAATGAGAAAGCCAGATTCACTTAACAACCGTGTTACTAATTTAACCACTGCAATGATTCACTTAACTACCATGGCAAGAAAGGCCATAGAATGGGGCAAAATTCACTTAACAAATGTCTCATTTAGCAACATAAATTTGGGGCTCAGTTGTGGTTGTAAGTTGAGGACTACCTGTATTCTTTTTCTTTTCCACCTTAGATATTAGGATCAATATCCTCCAGTCAGTTGGATCCATATTTCAAATAAAAGATAAACATTGAGGAGTTTTCTTCAAGGTGATGCATCTTTATGTTTCAAGATCAATAATCAATTATTCCCAAGTTAAGTGTCTAAAATCAAAAGTAAAATTTGTCCCTCTGAATATTCTTTCTATATTTTTAGGATCCTTTCATGTTAGTCAAAAGCGATAGCTAGATGTAGCAGAATGCAATTAATCATAAATAATCATTTCATTGCTAGCAAACTGTTGAGGATAAGGCAAATGACTTGCCCAAGTTATGAACATATGGCAAAAGTCCAGGACTGAGCCATCAAACCCAAATCATTCATTTGAACTCAAATTCTTTCATACAGAATCATCCTTTCCAAATCTTCTCAGTCAACCAGCATTCTAAGCATACAAGATACATTCACCCCAACAACTCAATAATTTTAAAAAACACTCCCAGTACAGCAGTTGGCACGTATCTAAAACAATGAGATTTCCTCCCAGTCTCTCTAAGCTAGAGGCTTTAAGTAAGACTTATGCCTGCAGCCATATTCCAAAATGTTGATTGGATCAAGGATGGACACTTAGTTAAAACTGACATTCTATTTCAACTAACTTATATTTAGTGCATGAATACATATATTTAGTATATTTATTATAAGAGATATCTATACGATTAATACTTTTTCTCTTTTCTCATTCAGAATTAACAATTCAGAGGCTTCATTCAACACTGCAAACCCATCTTCTGCACTCATCCTAAAAGCTCCCATTATTCTCTGAAAGCCTTAGAACAGTGGTTCTCAATCTTGGTTCATGGACTCCTGGGGGACTGTGATGTCATCACAGGGGATTTGTGAAGCCTTGAAGAAATGTTAAGATTTAAATCTTGAGTTAAGTCTTGGGGGTCCTTGGCCATGATCCATGGCCACAAAAGGTATTTAAAGGGGGTCCGTGGTAAACAAAAGGTTGAGAATGCATTAACTAGAGCCTTTTAGGGCCCTCTTTCAAATAATTCCCCAGCACCTCCCATTTTTGTGCCACTATCCTCAAGATCACTTCTCATTAGTTATAGATGGGAGAAATGTAAAGGAAAACAGTGACCTCCACCCATCCATTCTTTTGACTCTTAAAGTCTCCAGAAGATAAATCTTGCAGGTGCATAAATTTATTTTTTTAATAAATTTATTAGTCAGCCCCTTGACATACTTATCATTTCACTTTCTAGCATTTGTGGAATCACATAGAAACCAGTTCCAAAATAAATCACCGATATAATGGGACATTCCATGGGTAGATAGATACACGTTGATGGGTCCAACCACATTAAATGACTTCAAGTTGGCATGGGTAATGTCTCAAGTTATTGGTAACTTATTTTTTTCAATAGTCTGTGGTTACCCAGAAAGAGGTCTAGGCATTTTTCTCTAAGAAATTCAACTTTAAAATAGCAGGAATGATCTACATTTGCTGATAATTTAATAATGGGGGGGGTATTCTGTTATGTACAGGGAGGCAGAACTCAGGTTGAACTAATTTTCTGTATAAAATATTACTGATTGGTAAGATTTCTATCACTCCTCTCCTTCAAGAGCTCAAGATGAGTTATCTGGAAAGTTCCCTTTTTTTCCACAACTACCCCATGAAGCACTGACTCAGATATCCACACCAGAAAACACCTGTCTGATAGTCATCTAACTATTGCATCCTCAATCATTTCTATGAAAGATGATTATTGCTGAAAAAAACCCTCTTGCTACAGAACTTACGAAAGCATTTCTATAGTCCCACCCAGCATCTTCTAGTAGGTCTGCAATTGGGCAAGTGAATAAAAATGGTCAGTGAACAGGCCCTTTTCTGCAAGTAATCAAACTATATATTTTCTTGTGCACTCCATCACTTTTGCCACACCCTTAATTAGCTTCCCTCTTTTGCAACAGGCATAGGGGAGGATTAAGGAGGAATCAGGATGTACACTTGGCATCACCACGATCTTTCCAAAGAAACTGTTACACTTTGGAAGGCTGCATTGCTGATCCCAATTAGTGTGAAGCGGGCAGACATCAACATTATAAATAAATAAATGCCTACACGCTGCTCTCCTGCACAGCTGGTTCAGACCTCAATTCCATACAGCTAAATTATTTTATTCTTAAACATGCCCAATCCTGGAACATCATCCCCCCCCCCCCCGCAAACACACAGAGGGAGAAATGCTGAGCAACAAATAACTCTAGACAAAACTCAAACTCAAACCCACAGATTTAATGAGATACATTTATTAACGGGCAATACATGAAATATTTACGTTGGGGAAAAGAAAACCTCCCCTCCCCGTGTGTATTTACTTTTTTTTTTAAAGAGAGATTCCCCCCCAAAAAAAAAGAAACTCCAAAAAACTCTTTTCCAAACTGTCTTGCTGAGCAAAACCATTCCACAGAAACTCTTTTAACAGTTTTGGCATCCAAACTTCGCATGCATATATAATATACACGAATGTTTTCACCATGACACCATCAGTTTTCTGGATCCAAGAGGCTGCACTCCCTTCCCCCCCCCCCCATACACATACCCTCTATGGATGAATCACGGCTCCACGGGGAGAGGGACACGAGAAAGACTTACTCGGTGGGGCTCCCCATAGGGAACAACAAGTAAAACTTATCTCTCTTTCCTCCCCCCCCCCCCGCTCCTGAGAAAAGCAGCAACAGAAGCTCCTTGGGCATCTGCCTGCAAAGGACTCCGCGACTGAACGGAGAGAAAAAGCGAGGGGGGGAGTTGAGGCTCCCCATTCAGGAGCCCATCTCCACGCGCGCCTCAACTTTCTCCTCCGCCAAGCCAGCACCGCTGTCCCGGTCGCGCCGAACTCTCGCCTTTGAGGATGCCCGAAGGGTCGCATTCAACCCCTCGACGGAAAGCCAAGCCTGTCCGGCATCGTTTTGGTTACCTTTGCAGTCTCGAGGCACTGCCACCTCTCTCCTCCGGCTTCACCGATGCTGAGGCGGGCTGCCCAATCCCCTCCGAAACACGCAGGCGGTCAGCATTTCTCCCGCACACACACGCAGGGTACCCTGCGGAGCAGAGGATGTCGCTGAGACCTCGAGCATGATTGGAGGAGCGGGAGAGGAATCGCCCCCTCCGGTTGGCTCTCCCGACTGCCACTCCAGCGGCTGCTTCGGCTGCAAAGGTATAGGGCGCTGTGGGGAGCAGAGCTGCGCCGCCGCCGCTCCAGATCCTTCCCTTCCACCCCCGTACACGCATGCATCGCATTCCTCGATGCCCACGTGACCGGCCTAATTGCTCTCTATTGTACAGCTGGGCTGCGCGGAGTAAGGCGGCGTTTCCAGTTTGAGTCTGGTCCAGGTTGCCGTGGCTGGTTTCTTTTTCTCTCCGCAAAGGAGGCTGCTGTCAAAAAAAAACAAAAAACAAAAACAAAACCCTAAACTAAAAACCTGTGCAAAACCCCACACTGGCACTAAAAACAACAACTTTGGCATTTTCACCTTGTTTTCCACAACTTTCTGTGGCCCTGTAAGGAAAAACATTAATTCCAATGGAAGCCTTCTGGGGTATCCCCGCCCTAAAGAGTCCCTTAGTCTGCCTTCTACAAAGGCGATGCACTAAATCTGAACGTCTGTTTATGCAGTTAACGTTGGCTTAGAGTAGACCACAACCCGGCCGTGTTATTTATCCAAAGCTTAAAAATTTCATGACGGCGTCTCTTTTCAGTGATGCTTCCAGCCCTGAATAGAATTCCTGCAGCGATTATTCTGGGTACTGACTGTATCCTTAAGGGACGGTATTTTCTTTAAGTTGAATAGAAGCAATCGCGGGTGCCTTAAAAGTTGTTGAACGGGAAATGTGTTTTGTTGCTCTTAAAAGAATTGCTATTTGGTAAACGAGCCCAACAATAATCAAGACAATTTACTGTGTAATTCTATAGTCCCAGCAGGTAGCTAGGCAGTATATAAATGTAATAAATAAATGTTGGACTATAGAAATGGTAATAAACCAACATCAGGCCCAGGCAACAAGCCAGTCAATAATTTTTTTGTCTCAACACATGGATCTACAGCCAAAATGCAGATATGACTTGGATGCTGCATTTAATCATGCAATATATATTCACTGATCCAAAAAGCAGACCTTGCACCTGTTGAGTCCTTGGCGCAAAGCAGACACGAGAAGCAGTTGGAGTTCTCAGTTTTCTTTATTCTGCGTTCAGCTTACAAGTAGATGGCTTCATGGCTTCCCAAACGCTCGCAGCCTCTTATATAGGCAACTCCCGGGTAATTGTGTTACTTTTCCCGCGCCAGCACCCGCGCATGCGCATGGCGCTGGCGATAGCCTGTCTGGTCCCGGGCAGCTTTGCACCTGCCCGGGACTGCCTGCAAATGCCCGAGCCGTTTGCAAGGCTCGGGACATAACACCCCTTTCCCCCGGGCTAAAACTATTACCAACATATAATCATTTACTCTATACAATGTTCCGTTCCCCAGGGCTCCCACTGTTTGCTGGCTTTTGCCTTGCCAGCAATGTTATATAATCCTCTAAGTACTTAGGAGATTTCTTTGCTCTCTGTGACCTTCTCAGCTCTGGGTTACTAGCATGAGTTCCCTGACTGGAGGGAGATGTGAGCCTGTTCTCCTTATTTTGCCTTGGTGCCTTCCAAGGACTGTGCCCCGATGCCTGGCCTGCTTGCTTGCCCACCGGGCTCGTCAGGCCAGGGCTTCTGTCACTTTGTGACCTGGTTGACCTGCCTAGCTGTAGACCCTCGGGCCCCTTGAAGTGATAGCCACTGCTGGGCGTCTCTGTTGAACCTCCTAGGTCCGTCCAAGACCTGTCAGGAGGCTGTCCATTCCCTGAACCCCGTTCTGTGTCCGGGCTTGTGTGGGTTTCTGTACTTTCCCAAAACTCAGTTACTCCCTGATTTGGGCTAGAGGTGTTGTAGTCGGGACTTGGTTCCTCGACCACCTCCCTGTATGTTTGACCCCCTGTAGGATTTGGGGTAAGGTCAGGCCAACTTTGGGGATTGTGTGCCAGCTCTCTTGCGGGGAATGATTTGTTGGGATGCCCCCGGGTATCCTCCGTGACTGGAGTGCTGTGTGATGTGTGTGGAAAGTGAGTATGCCCCCGGGGTGACTCCCTGGCTGGAGTAGGCGTGGATGCCTGGTAGTTGGGTAGGCTCATAGAATTCTTGTTCGGAGCTCTCGCGGAACCCTAGGATGGGCCGTTTGTGGCTCCATCAGTGGAGATGGGCAGCAGCTCGTGCCCTTCCCTTTGCTCCAAAGGGTCCCCCTCCCCCCCTGGAAAAAACCCAGGAGTCTCATCTGAAAGGTCCCGCCTAGGGCGGAGTTGGTCGATGTGCCGACGCAGGACACGACCGTTGTCCAGGGCTACCTCGTAGGAGAGAGGGCCTGTGACCCTGGAAATAGAAGCGGGGACCCATGTATGACCAGGCCCGTAATTGCGAGCCCAAACCGGGGCACCCACAAGTAGTTGTCTAGGTGCCCTAGGATGTGAGGTAGATGAAGGCAGTCTGTCCGGATGCAACCGGTCAAGTTTAGTAGTAAGTTGACGCCCCCAACGAAGTTCAGCTGGGCTTCTCCCTGTAGAAGTGGATGGTGTGGTGCGATAAGAAAGGAGAAAGTCAGCCAACCTGTGATGCCAGTCCCCATAGGTGAGTCTTTTCAATGCGTCCTTTGTGATGCGCACCATACGTTCAGCCATACCGTTGGTGGACGGGTGGAAGGGTGCAGACGTGGCATGACGAATCATGTTTGCCTGTAAGAAAGCTTGGAATTCGGAGGAAGTGAATTGAGGGCCGTTGTCGGACACAATGACATCTGGAAGCCCGTGTGCAGCAAAAATCCCCCTCAGTACCTGAATAGTCTTTGCAGTGGTGGTAGATGAGACAGGTACAACCTCAAGCCATTTTGAATGGCTGTCAACAAGGACCAAGAAGAACTGGCCCTGAAAGGGTCCAGCGTAGTCAATGTGCACCCTAGACCATGGGGACTGTGTTTCCTCCCATCTATGCACGGGAGCTTGGGGCATCTCTGGGCGAGATCGTTGGCACAGGTGGCATGCATGCACCTTAGCCTCAATATCTTTATCTAAACCAGGCCACCACAAGTGGCTGCGCGCAAGAGCCTTCATACGAACAATGCCAGGATGACCCTCGTGGAGGGATTCTAAGACCCTAGTCCTCATTGAGGTGGGAATGACAACTCTGTTTCTCCAAAGCAGACAACCCTGAGAAAGGGACAGCTCATTCCTTTTGGACCAGAAACTCTGAAACTCAGGACTAGGGCAGTGCTCAGGCCAGCCAGACAAAACCCAGGAATGGACACGTGAAAGTGTGTGATCTGTACCTGTTTCAGCGGCAACATCCCTGGCACTAAGAGGGAGCTCGGGCAAGGCTTGGATTGATAGAATGTTGACAGCTGGCGCAGGGTCAGCTTCTACTACTGGCAGAGGCAATCTACTGAGGCCATCAGCATGGCCCATTTCTTTTCCAGGCTTGTGGAGTAAGGAAAAATCATATGCAGACAAAAAGATAGACCACCTAAGGATTCTAGGGGAAATGATTTGGGGAGTCTGCTTACGTGTGGTAAACAGTCCCAGCAGAGGCTTATGGTCAGTGAAGACCGTGAAGTGCCTGCCATATAGAAAGTCATGGAATTTTTTAATTCCAGCAACAACAGCCAGAGCCTCCCTGTCTATCTGAGCGTAGTTGCGCTCAGCAGAAGACAATGTTCTGGAGTAATATGCAACAGGAACCTGAGTTCCATCAGACCTGAGGTGGCTCAGGACAGCTCCAACCCCGTAAGGGGACGCATCACAAGCGATGCACACAGGGAGGGACTCATTGAAATGTGCAAGTACACTGTTAGAAGTGAGCAAAGCCTTGACTTTGTTAAAACAACCCTCATGCGTTTGTGACCACTGCCACACTGCTTGCTTGTCTAGTAGCCTGTGAAGAGGCTCAGCTACACTAGCTTTTTGTGGAAGAAAAGAATTGTAGAAATTCAGGAGGCCCAGGAAGGCCTGAAGTTCGGCCTTGGACTTTGGCCTAGGTGCTTCTAAAATAGCAGTTAGTTTGGATTCAGCAGGGTGAATCCCAGCAGCATCAATTTTGAACCCCAGAAATTCAGTAGAAGGCACCCCAATCTTGCATTTGTCTTTTTTGAGCTTGAGGCCTGATTTCCTGAATCTTAACAGAACAGCCCTTAGCCTTTCAGCTAGAATGTGTTTGGAGTCTCCTGCAATTAAGACATCATCAAAGTAGGGGCAAAGCCCTGGTATACCTCGTAGTGTGTTTTCCATTACGCTTTGGAAGATCCCAGGAACGACATTCACTCCAAACTGTAGCCTTTTTACTTTAAAGGCCCCTCTGTGGGTCACAATAGTCTGAGCTATAGCAGCATCATCATCAACAGGCAGCTGTTGATATGCTTGAGCTAGGTCAAGCTTTGCAAAAACACGCCCCCCCTTGAGGGAGGCCAGAATGTGACTGACCACAGGAACAGGATAGGCATGTTGCTGCAATGCCTTATTAAGAGTGCATTTGTAATCAGCACAAATGCGAATGTCCCCATTTGCCTTTAGAGGCGTGACAATGGGGGTCTCCCAAGGACTGGAATCAACAGGTTCTAGAATTCCCTGTTGGATCAGTTTGTCTAACTCAGTGTCAATTTTACTCTTTAAAGCAAAAGGGACCCTTCTTGCTTTAATTCTAATGGGAGTGACAGTGGGGTCTAGCTTTAAGGACACAGGGGGTCCTTTGAATGTGCCCAGCTGGGGGCTGAAAACATCTGCAAATTCTTTGCAGACTTCCTGTAGGTCGAGTGTTTGTAAACTGTTGAGTCCTGTGACGTGTATCCCCAGGGCCTCAAACCAATCGAGTCCTATGAGACTCGTTCGTTCACCCCCTACTACTAATAAGTCTAGTGGACCTTCAAAACTCTTGTATTGCACGTTAAGGGTGGCCTCCCCCTTAACACACACTCTTGAATTTTGAAAATCTGTTAACACAATGTCAGAAGGCCTTAACTTGGCCTGAGTTCCACTACCGGAACAAATCTTCCTAAATGTATGCAAGGAGATGATTGAAAGGGCAGACCCTGTGTCTAGTTCCATAGATAATGGAACCCCTTGTAGCTTCACCTTGAGTGACAGCTTTTTCTTAATGGGCTTGTGTGTGCCTGTCCTAAGGATGCTTCTTCGCGAAGCGCAAAACCTACCCTATTCTGGCTGGGGATCTGGTACCTTTCAGGCGCAGTTCTTGAGGTTGTACCTTTCGTCGGCCCAGACACACAGCTGCAATGTGTCCTTGTTTGCCGCATGCCCGGCAGGTAGCGGAGCGGAACTTGCAGTCGGTTCTCCTGTGGCGACCTCCACAGCCGATGCACTTGAGCGGAGCTGAAGAGCTTCCCTTCTGATTTTCTTCCTTCATGGGGTGGAGACGGTCGACTTCCTCGTCCGGATCCTCCTCGGACTTTCTTTGGACGTCTTCCTGGTGCACGGATGCAACCTCTGGACTGTTTCTGATCGGCCGCATGTTCT